GTTGAACCACGATTCAGAAATATTTTAAAAATATATTTGTTTCTTATAAATACGATTTTGCTGTTTCCTGAGATTCCAAAGTCAGCTGCTGCTAGTGTGAAAGGATGCAAAAGTGAAGGCTGAAGTGTTACTGGGTTTTGCTGCGTGGTTATCAGTATTACTTGGCTTCCTAAATGCTGTTTTCTTTTTGAAAACCTCCCTTTTTAGGAATGTTAGATGATTAAAATGTGCATGATTTACTTAGTAAACTCAACTTCATATTCGCAATGATATGTGAAAATTAGCGATTTTAATGACTGCTGAACTTTTTTTTTTCAGGACAAAGAACTGGAATACACCACTGATCTTTGACCTGAAGGAAGGGACTGTTAGTTTGATTCTACAAGCAGAAAGGTAGCTTGCTTCTTGTAATGCTCACTATCAGATGTGAACATCTATTTCCTAAAACTTTCTTATAGAACACATATTGAAATATTAGAAATAGATAAAAAAATGCAGTATTGATAAGTAGCACGTAAAGGCTTAGCTGGTGTATTTGCTGTAGGTTTGTGATGGTGACAATGAATTTTGTCATCCATCATGTATGTTTATTCTCTTATTTATGGAAGAAAGTAAATCTTCTGACGTTACACTAACATCTGGGGTTTTTGATGTTTTATATTGCTTTTTTGAACTGGAATATATTTCATATAAATTATCTTTGGTCTCCAGTTTTTATTAAAAACATTTCCAGGGATGCCAAATAGTTTCAATTTTCTTACATATTAGTATTTATATTTGCAAGAAATTACTAATTTTTTTTCCTCAATTTAAAAAAACTTTAATCTATATTTCCTGAAAATCATTTGTCAAAGAGATCTTTACATTTAGCAACTTTTTGAAAGGGCTAAGAATAGGAGCAGAAGTCAAAAAACTTGAATTTTTATTATAATCTTAATTCTCACAGACAAATACTGTTGCACGACTGTTTTGGCAACGTGCAGCACAGTGCTCACTGCATTTTTCAGTGCCCCAGGTTAAACTCTTATGTCCTAGCCTACAAAGGTTCTGCAGCAGAGAACAAGTAAGCAAGTGGACAGGATTTTGAGTATCAGTTTCTAGATTTTGAGTTTTGTGCTGCTGATTTAAAGTCAATTTTGAAAACGTGGTGCAGATTCTTTGGCAGTGTAGGTGATCTGCAGAAATGAATAATTATTTGTCATGGAAAAAAGATAACATTGACATTAAAACTGAAATCTTCCATACAGAACTTTCAGAATATCAACTTTGAAATGTAAAGCCTAGAAATTATGTCATTTAACTGAAAACAATTGCAGGGTATTAGACAGTTACCTTCAAATTGTTGAAACTGTCTTCGTGCTTTTCTGTTTTATTTAGTGATTAACTTTTTAATTGGGTTTTTGGGGGTTGTTTGGGTTTTTTTTGTAGGCATTTTCTTCTTGTAGATGGTGGAGGACTTTATTTATATTCATACGAAGGAAGATTAATTTCCTCTCCAAAATTTCCAGGAATGAGAACAGACATTTTGAATGCCCAGACAGTATCTCTGAGTAATGATACTCTAGCAGTAAAAGACAAAGCTGATGAAAAGGGTAAGTTCTCCATTCTAACAGTTCTATACTTGCTAATAATTCATTATAAGGTTTTCAGCATCTTCGCATTTAACTTTACTTTGCATAGTTATGGTAAAAAGAAAGCATGAAGCATAAACAATTTATCTATGATATAAATTAAAGATAATATTTATTATAAAATGAATTAAAATTATGGGTCTTGCTTAACTTTGATTTAAAAAACTTAAAGAGAATGATATATGTCTGTGAACTTCCAGTTGTGTGTAAAGGATCAGAGAACCATGGAATATTTGCAGGAAATATTTGAATGGGAGGTTTTAATCACTCTCTGATATGTGATTTTCTAAAGAAGTACCTCAGCAGTTTTTCTGTTTGACTGCTTCTCTTCAAGCTACCAGTACATTAGCTGTGATTAATTTCAGTTCTCAGATGTTCTTTGCTTTAGTTTATTTGGCTTTGTATCTTTACAGCCTGTAAGTTTTATATGCAGCTGATATGACCATAGTTATGAGGCTGGGGTATTGTGTCTCGGTGTTCTTGAAGATTTTTATGCTCTGAAATTTGGAGTTTTGACATCAAAAGCTCTATAATTCTAAAACACTTCAGGGCAAAAAGAGCTTCAGGTCGATTTTTGCATTAATGGAATGGAATTTTGCATTAATGGTACAGGAATATCTTCTTGTCAGTCAGCTCTTTCCTTCCCTTTGTTCTCTCTCTTGCTGCAAATAGGTAAGTTTGCCTGTGCAACAGTTTAAAGTGTCTGCTGGATACAGACACTTCCATTCCTGGAAAACCCCTGGAACTATGATTTTGACTCCAGAACTGTGCCATGTGCAGGCTGTACCAATACAACAATACAGGGCTGCAGTGTGTCTGTAGCTGCATTTCGATCTGGCCAGGAAGGGGATTACCACTGGGAGCAACGTGCACAGGAGGTGCTGTTCCTGCAGAGTGAAACAGTGAAAACTGACACTAAATCTGTTATCTATAACTCTGTCTGTTATCTCAGGCTTAATGGTTAGATTTTAAACAGTTTCAGAATTTCAGAAGTCTTTGTCTTGCAGCAAAGAAGAATCATATTTATCTTTTTTTCCATAGAAAAAGAAACCTTTCAGTTTCTTCACAGTACAAAAGATCCTGATTATTATAGGCAATGAGTTAGTACTGATTGCACAGTAGTTTTCTCACCATATAACCCATAACTTAAATTACTTGATGACTGAAAAAAAACCCTTGTAATGATCCTTTAAAATATCCCTCCCCAAGCAAAAGGAAAATTAGGTGAAGTTTTTCTCACTTCCTTCTTACAAAGCATTTTTGCTACTCTGTACAACTTATATGTATGGTTTTTTTCCTTGTGCATCCGTATCTTTTATGTGAAAACAAATACTTTAATTATTACACAGCTATTTTAGATGTCTATTTTAGATATTTTTAATTTGAATAATTACTTTAAGAGTAGTAATATAACTGTAATGCACATTTCATTTTTAAGGACAGCTACTTCTATATTATCCTGAAGCATCAAGACATTAAAGATATCTAAAATACTTGTGTAATAATTAAAATCTATTTTAATTAGCACAAATATTTCAGTGTAAATTATTCAGAAGAAAGAAGTAGTTTGCAATTAAAAAAAAAAGTGAAAAGTTTCATTTTATTTCTGATCTTTTCTTTCTTTGTGTGTGTGTCTATGTATTTATATTACACAAGTGTATGCTTGTTTGTATATTACTTAGTATGTGTAACACAGAGACTTTATTTTGTTGCCATATTGACACCTTGCTGCAGTTAGAATAAAACCAGTAGAAGCTTTTTAAATATATGGAGGTTATATAGAAAATTAATCCAGAAATATTGACTGCTGTCTATATGAATGTGTATTTAAGCTTTTGATGGTAAACTCGCTCTCTTACCCCATTCCCCTGCCCATCTTCCTGAACAGACTGAAGAGGATCTCCATCTCCCAACCATTCCTGTTAGTGTCCTGAAAGTCTTGTCAGCCTGTACGCAGGCTAATCTTCATCAAAATTGTAATTAACAGAGGCTGGGTTTCTGGCTCTGTTTGCAAGATAAGCTCTCCAAATGATCCTGTTGATAGGAGCTTCCATCAGGGCAATGAGCAGGAGTAGGATTTTTTTTATTATCGTTATTTTTAAGGTATGAGTCCCACTAGTAGTGAGTGATAAAAAGCCTTCTTAATATGCCAGCACATAGGAAAACAGATTCTTGGCACAAGAAACCGTGGCTTATCTAGGCCTGTTTATTCTTCTCAGCTCACCCCAGCAGAAGTGGTTTGTTTTTGGGGTTTTTTTTGCCCTGTTTTGAGGGCAGGTCTGTTTTTCCTAAGGCACTGCATTATAGAAATATCTGAGATAGCTCACTTTGGTACAGGCAGCACTTTACACATCGTAGCATGGAGCTTTCTACAAGCTAATTTACTCTGGAACAGAGAGAGAGGTATGACTTGCTCTGCTTCAGTGTTGTTACCTGAATATTCTTCCTCTTTCAGTAATCTAGAAAAAAGATTGATCCTTCTGTGCTTACAGTCCTTCCTCAATCTCTAATAAATCTGGAAGAAAGAGGTGAGCCTATCTCAAAAGGGAACTGCTGGTCCCAGGAGCAGTTATTCCAAGATAATAGATCATGTGCATTAAAAAACACCCAGTAGCTGTTCTCTTTTCTCTGGATGTTCAAAGTGACAGAATGCCCTTAGTTTACATTTTTAATTTATACATAATAAAAAAAAAAAGTTCAGGTTCTAAATGTTTGTAAAGTGATTTGGAGTTTTTCCAGATAGGGAGAGGGAAAAAAATACCAACCAAAAAAAAAACAACAAAAAAAACCCCACCAAAAAAACCCCTCAAACTCATTTTCTGAAATACCTTAATAAACATTATAGATTAATGAAAAGTTAACCAATTTTCCTTGACAGTTACATACAGTGGTTTTCTTAATCTCACTTTCTATAGCTACCATAATAGCAGTAAAATCAGCTTGTGTAACTAGCTCAAAGTAAATTTCATGCAGGGAGCCATGCAGAAAAGGGAGAAAAATACCACCTCTTAAGAACAACTAGGTGTCTTTTGCATATTTAACCAGCTGCCAAGAGCAACACTTGTGCAAAACCCTTTCTTTTCCTCCTCTGCAAACTCACCCAGTGCTTTCTGAACACCTGCTCTTACAGTTTGGTTGTTGTTTGGTTTTGTTTTGTTTTGTTTTTTAATTTTACCTGTGTAACCAGTGACCTCAAACCAACATCCTGCGTCCTAGTGAAAGAAACACACAGCAGGGTTTACACGTTGACATCGCCATCCTTTGGATTGAACATGTATGTTCATCTCAGATTGTGCATTTACAGGTGATGTGTTACTGAACATCTGAAATGTTCCTGTCACATCTGTGTTTTCCATCAACTACCACAGAATTGTGCTTTAAATTACAGCTGGTGTTCCTTATAATGCTACTGGTTTCTCTAGGTTTGAATACTCTACCCACATCTCTCTGAATCCTTGTTTATATCATAGAATCATAGAATGGTTTGGATTGGAAGGGACCTTAAAGATCACCCAGTCCCAACCCCCCTGCCAGCAGCAGGGACACCTTCCACTAGACCAGGTTGCTCAAAGCCTCATCCAACCTGGCCTTCAACACTTCCAGGGAGGAGCAGCCACAACTTCCTTGGGCAACCTGTTCCAGTGTCTGACCACCCTCACAGTGAAGAACTTCTTCCTAATATCTAATCTAAACCTCCCCTCTTTCAGCTTAAACCCATTTCCTCCTTATCCACATGTATCAAATATGTATGAATAGTTTTTGAACACGCAGGGATGTGTGTGCGTCACAGACACACTTACACGTGTGTGAATATTGAGAGACACAGAAAGAAAGAAAGAGAAATTTTATTTTAGGCAAGTTGCAAATTTGAGTCTTTGCTGGATATCCCAGCAATACAGATGATGTAGGTGGGAGGGTTTTGGAGGGGTTTTTGGTGGTTTTTTGTTTGTTTGTTTGGGGTTTTTTGGGTTTTGGGGTTTTATTTGAGAGTGAAACAGGGAGAAAGTGGAACAGATGTACTTTTGGTAAAGATTGCAAGAATTATATATAAAATTCAAGTATTATCTGGATAAAGCACATACTTTTTGAGGAAGCCAGTTATTAATGTATTGTCATTAACTGTATCATCATGACAAGCAGAAAACCTAAACTGTCCTGGAAGAAATATGCCTAGGGACCACTGTCTGAAGAATTCAAACTAGAGCAAGTTATTAGCAAAATAGAGAATGCTTCTGAAGAATGTTTTGTCCAATAGTTCAAAGGACAGCTTTCTATATATCTGGTACTAATTCCTTTAGGAAAATATATCAGTCGATGGTATCACTTCCTAAACGTTCATATTCATCAAAATTGTGGGTTAAGATTGAGTAAATCTATCAGATAGCCTTGGTAACATTAATTTATGTATTTAGAACGCAGGGTACAAACCTGCATCAGATAGAACTCGGTGTCATTTCTGTAAATAACCATTTGAGCTGTAATGTGAAGTAAAACATTAGTTTTCTCAATTCTGTATCAGTCCATAATATCACATTTCAATGGCTATCAGTGCTCTGAAAATAATGATATTTGAGAATTGTCACAGCTCACTCCAAGTGCAAAATGAGACTATTCCGAAGCTCAGCAGACAATGACAGTGACATTTTCTCAACTGCAAGATTCTTTTTTTCACCAGAGTGTGGAAGTCACTGGTTGAATCTAACACACAGTAATAAGTATCCACTGGCAGTAAATTATACTCTGTAAATGAATGGAACTGCTTGAAAAGTCTATGAAGAACTGTTGCTTTTAACTAATAAACTCTATTTTTTTTTTCCCTTTAGTTATCTATATATTTGAAGCTTTATCTGGAAAGCCATTGGGTGATGGAAAGCCTCTAACCCATAAGGTAAGGTGAAGATATAGAATCATAGAATGGTTTGGATTGGAAGGGACCTTAAAGTTCATCCAGTTCCAACCCCCCTGCCATCAGCAGGGACACCTTCCACTAGACCAGGTTGCTCAAAGCCTCATCCAACCTTTGTGGGGTTTTTTTTGTTATACTTTGAAATTAAGAATCAATAAGAGATTTCCTCAAACACCAGTCTAATAATTTATTAATCTTTTATTATAATCTTAATAGAAATATAATCTATTGTCATCTAAGGTTTATAATCTTCATAGAAAGGAGTTTGACAACTCTAACAGACTCTTATAACAAAAATAAAAATCAGATTATTTATGCAGTGTTGAGGTACAAAGGGATATGCTATAGGTTGTGTTTCCCACACACACAAGAGTTTGAAACCACAGGTAAATAGTTTTATTATGCAGTACAACTGACCAACTGAATTTCCTTTGCATGTTGTCCAAAACCATTTTTATTAATGGTGACCTGTTGTTAACATTGAAGAAAAAAAAACATCAGTGCAAAGTTTGTCTGTCTTCAGTCTGAGCTTTTGCTGGTGTAACTTCAAAAAATGATTGTTTGAACTGCATTTTACTTTTCTTCCCTCTTCTGGTAAATGACAAAAGCATAATTAGGCACCTTCTTTAGAGAGAGGAATGAAAATTCATCTTTTAGGCAGTTTTTGCTTTGGGACTGCCACTTGTATTTCTGTAGTTTTGTAGTAAATTCCTAATCTGCTAACTCTTCTCTGTTGTAGTTTTGTTTTAATCTGTATGAAATTCAGTTTATAGAATGCTTCATTCACCAGAGGAGACACACATAAAGTGTCTTCACAATCCAGGTCTTCAAGTTTTGTGCCTTGTTTTTAGTAAAGCCTTCATTTGTTTGAGTATCACATGCTTTCTGTGATACGAATCTCCAAAATAAAAATCAGATATTTTTCTTTTTCCTTTTCAGACGGAAATTGTGGAGATTGCTTTGGACCAGAAAGGACTTACAAGTGAAAGAAAAATAGCTTTTATTGATAAGAACAGAGATCTTTACATTACTTCAGTTAAACGGTTTGGAAAAGAACAGAAGATTGTCAAAATAGGTAAGAAAAATTCAAAATAACGTTGAACTACATTCTAGCAGGCAAAGAGACTTTTATCCAGTACAAGAGATAAAATTTTGCTTTTTAATAAGTAGTGAAATTGGACTTGAAAAAACATTAGAAATAGTCCTGTGGCTTTCATGAGATAGTGGTAGAAACAATTTTAGTACATTTTATCTAAATTCTGATAATTTTTTAATCAGTTACATGTGAAGCAGATGTATTTAAGCACTTACTGCACTCTGGAGCAAGCAGCTGGGAGGTTGTTGGAGAAGGATGTATTCCTCAGAATTATTCAATACAGAATCTTTCAGACATTTTTCTTGCAAATGCAAACTCTTTAGTTCATAATATTTGAAATTAAAAATTTAAATGGTGTAGACAGATGCGTAAGTACAAAGCTTCAGTCTGACCATTGTGCTGATTTTGATCTTCAGTCTTAAAAATAAGTCCAAAAAAAATTCTGAAAAGAACTTTATTTCAGAATAAAACTGAATTTGGCTGAAAGATGTTACCTTACAAACTAGGGGGTTAAAACCAGTCCTTATAAAAAGAACTAAGAATGACTAATAATTACTTTTCTACTACAATTTGAGAAGTTTAATTTTAAAATTGTATTTTGAAATTTCTTGTGGAAATGCATATAATTCTGCTTTCTTTAAATTAAGGGACGATGGTTCAAACTTTAGCTTGGAATGACACATCTAACATTCTTTGTGGGATTCAAGATACCCGTTTTACAGTCTGGTACTACCCCAACACAGTCTATGTGGATAAAGATCTTTTGCCAAAAACTCTGTATGAAAAAGATGCAAGGTAATATATAATAAATATAT